ATATTCAGAATGTCCAAGTTAAATTCCAAGTGAGTTGACCAAGCACTGTAACCACATCAGCATTGGAGTAACCTAATAAAGATGAAATAAAGTAGCTGCTATAAAAATGCACAATCATCTGGGGAGCCTGCATGGGACCGAACTAGGCCCTCTGAATGTGGGTAAAAGTTGGGAGGCTTGATGTGTTTGTGGGTCCCCTGGCAGTGGGACCAGGACTTACCCTGGGTACACAAACTGGCTTTTTAGACCCCATTCCCTATGGTGCGATGCCTTACTCAGCCTTGATGCAGGAGGGAGGGGCTAGGTGTAGCCCCAACATGGTATAACAGCCTGTGTTGACTACCCAAGGGAGGCCTTACCCTCTATGAGGAGGGGATGGGATGGGATGGATGGGGGTAGGTAGGAGAAGTGGGAGAAGAGGAGGGAGGGGTAACAGGTTGATATGTAAAAGGAAAGAAAAAATTTTAATAAAAAATTATATTAAAAATGAATAATCACACAATCACAAATAATCTTCCAACAAGGGCTAATGTAAGAAATTGGGGATTAGGGCTGGGGAGATGGCTCAGTGGCTAAGAGCTATTGTTCTTGCAAAGGACCCTGGACTGGTTCCCATGTAATGGCTTCACAATGTTTTGTAACTCTAGTTCCAGGGAATCCAACATTCTTTTTTGTTCTCCGTGGTCTCCTGCATACAGATGGAGCACACAAACTCACATAGTTGCACACAAACACATAAAAACAATAAATCTTTTTTTTTAAATGAACATTTAAGACAGTAACCAAATTTTAAAAGTGCACCAAATGAACTCAATAGCAGTACAGAAGAAGCAAGAGTCAATAATCTTGAAGACAGATTAGGAAAATTTACTTACTCAGAACACATAAAACATTCAAGAATGAAACAGCAGGAACAGGACAGAACTCAGAGACTTGTGGGACCAGAAATGTCTGCCATCCCTATGATCAGATTCATCAAGAGATCAAAAAAAGAGGAGAAAGCATTCAGTGTGAAAAAGATCTTTGAAGCATGGCTGTATGCCTCCCACATTTGGGGACATAAACCTATAGATTCAAGAAGCTGATTACATCCCAAAGGGTGAAACCAAAAATATCCACACAGTAGGAAGGATTTTCAATCAAAAATCTCACAGGTGTCATTGCAAGTACCGAGGTTATACTAGCTCATATGCAAAAAAGCAAAAGAGCTAGAAAACAAATGACTTTGAAGAGAACTTGAAGGAAGCACACTACCTCTTACAATTTGACACAAAAATCAAGAAATCCAGAGGGTGTGACAATGTGCTGCCTGTCTCAACAAAGGCCAGTGGGCACACAGAAATTGAGTTTAAGTTGCACTTCACTAGAGATCTGTGATCTGAGAAGGTAGCAAATTAACCACCTTTAAATTTAAATAAACCACCTTACATCTTGTCCTCAGCTAGCAGTGTTTGGGGGAAGGAACAGAACGAGTCACTGCACAGCTGTCTTGCAAGAGACAAGCATCATGTACTCCCTTGCAGTGCTGTGAGCATGCAATCCAGAGGTGCCCGTTTGGAAGTCACTTGGACAGCGTTGTCACTCTTGCCATCACTGGCATATGCAGTGTAAGGGGAAGAGGTTTGTTTTGGCTTGGGTATACCGTCCATCATGGTGTGGGCAGCACTGTGCAGAAACAGCTCCTTGTCCGCAGCAGCATGAGGCTGCGTGTTCACATCTTGGTGGATGGGGAGAAAGGAAAAGGCTGGTGTTTAGTGTAGCTGATGTTTTTCTGTGTTCCACCTGGCCCGTGGTCAGGACAAATTTCTCTCACCCATCAGTCCTGCAGCCATTTGGACCCAAGTAAACACACAGAGACTTATATTACTTATAAACTGTATGGCCATGACAGGCTTCTTGCTATCTAGTTCTTATATTTAAATTAACCCATTTCTATAAAACTGTACCTTGCCACATGGCTCGTGGCTTACCAGTATCTTTACATCTTGCTTCTCATGGTGGCGGCGGCTGGCAGCGTCTCCGGACTCAGCCTTCCACTCCCAGAATTCTCCTGTTTATCCCACCTATACCATACTTCCTGCCTGGCTACTGGCCAGTGTTTTATTTATCAATCAATCAGAGCAACACATTCACAGCATACAGAAAGACATCCCCAGCAGTTTAAGTATCTATCTTTCTCCTTTTTGCCTTTATTCAATTGTGAACTCAAGTCTATGGGATGGTACTGCCCATATTCAAGGCAGAGCTTCCTCACTGGACCCTCTGGAAATACCCTCTCAGACATACCCAAGAGTGTGCCTCAAAGATACCCTAGGCATTTCCTAATGCAGTCAGGCTGATAATCAAATCAACTATCACAAGCAATTAAAATGTTGTACTGATTTATTTTTTCAGATTTTCATATATGCATACAATGTATTTGATCCCATTTGACTCCCACTGTCCACCTTCAACTCCTTGTGGATATTCCCTACATCCCCTTCCCAACTTTTCTTTTTTTTTTAAACAACCCCAAGAGTCCCATTTGTGCTGCTCATATACACATGAGTATGTCACTCCTACTGGAGCATGGGCAACCTGCCAGGAACTACACACCTAGTAGCCCATAACTATCAATAGCTCTTAAGCTAGGGTTGGGGCTCATGTGCCCTCCCCCATCCATGTTGGAAGGTTGCCTGGCTTGATCTTGTGCAAACAGCCACAGCTACCACCAATTCATGGGTGCAATAGTCATGTCCGACTGATGCTTTCTGATCTCTGGCTCTTAGAATATTTTTGTTTCCTCTTTCTCTATGTTCCCTGAGTGGTGGCACGGAGGAGGTAGAATACAGATGTCCCATTTACAGCTGAGCACTCCACACATACTTGTCTTTGCACTTTGACCAGTAGTACACAAGGACTTTTCGTTGATGAGAATGGTGAGTTACAACCACATGAAAGTCTGTATGTGAATGCTTTAACAATTCTCATTATTACTAAAAAGTACAATGTAGAACTCAAAGGTCTCTTAGATGGTCAGGAGTTCAATGAACTGCAGTCTCTCCATACAAGCGAACTCTACTAACCTGCAAAAATGAATACAATCTCGGTACCTGGAATGGTTTACATGAATGTCAAGAACACCATGCTTATGGAATTCCCCCACTTCTCAAAAAGGCAAAACCATTGAAAAAGAACAGATCACTGGCTTCATAGAATTATTGATGAGGTAGAAGAGTTAATGGACAGAGGAAAGGAATTCTGCTAGATGACGAAACTGTTATGTATCAAGACTATAAGGTGTTTCACTGTATCATAATTTTGATTCATTTAATACTAGTTAGGGGGAACAATATGGTAAAATGCTTGCCAGGCATATACAAGGCCATGGGATCAAGCATCCCCTGGCCCCAGCACTGCAAAATCAAAAGCTAATTAAGACCAAAACCCAAGACATCCAAACCCACTAAATAGCTAAAAACTACTAAATAACCACCACATGTGTACACCTTCCTATTATCTCTATCTTAACCTTGGATTTCAGGACAGGAGACCCCAACACTATTCATCTCTTTGTATTGGTAAAAGTTTTCATTTTACAATTTCATTTAAACAGGTTAAATCACATACAGGCCTGCCAGATTGAGCAACAATCAATCAATAAATAAACAAACCAAATTTTAATTTCAAATTACATTTGTTGAGCTCCTATGCTTCTTGTTAGGTTTTTCAGTTTCAACTGACAGGTATGGGTTTCCTACTCATTTTGCTTATAGTTCACTGAGCATATTGGATCAATGTATTGATTACCTTTTACTAAATTTGAGGAAATTTGGGCTGTCATTTCCATTTTTTTTTTAAACTGCCCTAATTCTGTTCTTTTTTGAGAATTTACTTACATGCTTTTTAACACTGCTTTATACTGGAACTGGTGAGACAGCTCAGCAGGTAAAAATGCTGCTGCCACCCTAACAACCTGAATTGATTTGCTACAAGCCACCTCTACACACTGTCCTCTCATGTCCAAACAAGTACTGGCACACTCATGTGTGTGCATGTGTGTGCACACATACACACATAGTCCTCTCTTCTTCACACAAAATATAGAAATTTTAAACACTACTTGATACTACCCTCATGACATCATGACTGATTATTTTTCCCCCTTAGTCTTCTTCCTTAGGTTGGACAGTTTCTCTTCCTTCCTCTGGACTTTGCCCAATTTGGTTTTTGTTGCTTCCATCTCTTGGATGACAGTGCTCATTATATCCATCCATTATAAGCACCTTTGTTTTTCATCCATGCACAGTTCTAAAGTGCCAGTCCTTTATATCTACTGATTGGGAAGTCTAGGTTCTACTAACATCTCATCCCTGCATTCTTTTCTAATCATAAAGTCATGCCTCATATTGTGTTCTGCAGCCATTGTTGATATTACAGTAATTTTTCACCATATTCTGAACCATCTTAAACTTTGTTCTAATAAGCACTCAACTACTTGCTTGTCACCTTATCCATGAAGGCCTAACTTCACATTATATGAAGCTCTGTCCTTAGTTTAGTCCTAAGCCTAGTCTTTACTAGTACATGGCCATTCTGGGCTTCTGATAAGAAAGCCCACATATTTATCACGCCCTTCTAACTTCTCAGGATTCAAACTTGAAGCTGTCTCCTCTCTCAACAGAGAGCAATGTCTGTCTCTTTGGGTCCCTGGCTTGGCTTTTCACCTGGATCCTTGGATCTTCCTACACATACACACAATAAGGAACGAGCTGAGCATATAGGACACATCAATCATGAATTTTTAAGGGCTCCTACTTTAGTTTCTAGCTCCCTCTGAAGCCACAGTTCCATCCACTAACCATCTCACGCCAGTACAACACCAACTTGGCTGAACTGAAGTCTGGGAATGTCCTCAGAGGAAAAGCCACACAGGCAGAATTCTTAGCCTGCTCTATGACACCCCAGTGTCTTTCAACAATCAGGCACTGTAACAGTCACAACTGGAGGGTGTGAGCTAGTCAACTACCAAACCCAGAAGTCCTTTATTTTTATAGTTCTTAAATGTTTAGTTAAACATCTCCAAAGAAAACAATATAAAACTGATTTAAGGTACTTAGTTCTTTCTTCTTGTGTACACAAGAGACTGAAAATGGAATATTTTATACACATTAAAATATTTCATCCCAAATGAAACATCAAAATAATTCTAGCTAACACATAATACCAGAAAGTAGAAAAATTTTCAACTAATATTCATGAATATACTAAGCAAAAAGGTCAAGTTGATTAGGCTATGGAAATACTTATGACTTGAACTAACACAGTAGTGTGTAGCAAAGCTACTTCTACTCCAGACCAACACAAGTTATTAAACAAATGAGCCTCTTATAATTAGTAAGTGTGTATGTGTGATGACTAACACCAACACTGGGTATCCTCCTATTCTATCTTGCTCTATTTATTTATTTATCTATTTGTTTGTTTATTTATTTAGAGATATTATACAGCACAAGGGCCTGGAACTTGCTATGGAAATCAGGTTAGCCTTGAACTCAGAAATCTGCCTGCCTGCCTCTCAAGTGCTGGGATTTAAGGAGCGCACTCCCATACTCAGCTATCAACTTATTTTTTGGAAACAGTGTCTCTCACTGAGTAAGGCATGCAGATTAGCCAGAAAGCTCCAGGGATCTGCCTGTCTCTGTTCTCCACCTAGTGCTAGGGTTCAGCCTACACCCCACACTGGATTTTTCCCATGAGTGCTGGGGATTCTAGCTCTTAATGTTTGCACAGGAGCACTTTACCAACTAAGGCATGTTCTCAGTTCCCAACAGCCACCTTTCCATAAGGAGATCATAAGACAGTAAGGGAATAGTTAGCAAGCTTTTATTTGCTTTACTTATTACTCCCTGCTTCTTTATCCCTTCAAAATCGGGTTTAGGTGATTCACATTCCAGTTTCCTCAGTTATTCTTGAACCAGCCTCCTTGCATTGATGGGTTCCATCTATGAAAATCTTGTAACTGTGTGTGATGTCCAGCCACACTTTCCGGTTTCATCTGCTCCATGTGTACACCCTGGCGAGTAGCCCGCCGATGCCACAACAGTCATGATGATGAAAGGGGGAAGAACTGCTGCGGGAAAGCCAACACTGCTGGATCAACTCTTGTTGCCTCCTCTTGTCACTTCTGTTACACTTTCTAGATAAACGACAGACCCATGCCATTTGTCATATAAATACCACACACCCAACAGAACTGAAATTAACGTGAGACAACAGAAAATGTCCATGTTCAGAGTCCATTAATACTTTGGGATTCTGGTATAGAGAAAAGACTTAGCATTTCCATCTCCAGTGGGTGCAGGGTACCCCCTGTGATGACCAAAGAATGCAATGGTCCTCCCAAGTCCACTGTACACATCTGCTGTAAAGTGCCCGCTGCAATTTTCTGGTCTTCAGCGCCAACTCTGGCTAAGCCAACACAGAGTGTCTCCTCAGTGATTGCTGTTTAAACAAGGGGCAGGGGAGGGAGAGACAGAGGGATACTGCAGGTCAATTGGGCAAGTACTTCTGCCTGTTCAACATTCAGAACTATCAGTACTACAAGTACACTGAAGACTGCCCTGAACATCTGAAACCCCCCTAGTCACTCACTACAGACCAGTGACTTTACCTTTTGAGAATTCCAAAGGTTTACACGCTTATGTTACACATAATGACAGAACATTTGTCTTAAAACAGGTTCTAAGTGAACATCTTTATGATTCACACATAGTGTAAAGATTTATCTTTATTATTTGTGTGTGTGTTGGTGTATGCATATGTATGTGTATAGATGTGCATGTAGGCACCCATGGAGGCAGAAGAGGGTGTTGGATCCCCTGAAGCCAGAATTACATGTGGTTGTGAGCTGTTCAAGGTGGGTGCTAGGAACCTAACTTGGATCTTCCTTGTCTTAGTTAGAGTTTTTATTGCTGTGAAGAGACACCATGACCACACTAATTCTTATAAAGGAAAACATTTAATTGGGGCGGCTCCCTTAAAGTTCAGTTCATTATCAGCATGCAGGTGCTGAGAAGTAACTGAGACTCTTATCACGCAGGCAACAGGAAGTGGTCTGAGACACTGGGCAGTATCTTGAGCATACAAGAGACCTCAAAGCTGGCCTCCAGAGTGACACACTTTCTCCAACAAAGCCACACCCCTCCTAATAGTGCCACTCCCTTTGGGTGCCATTTCCTTTCAAACCACCACATTCCATAAGAACTAAAGAGTGAACCATCCTCCTTCCCCAACACACTTCTATTTTAAATAAATTCTGAGGTACATTTATACTGACCAAGATACAGTAAAAATTAGGAGACTAAGAAAAACTCACAGATGTGAATTTCTGCTCAGCCATCTAATTAGTTACAGGACAAACCAATTTTTTAAAAAATTGTTTTATCTCTTAAGTGGTAGTTGTGAGGGCTAATACAATGAGTACAAGAGTACTTCGTAAGCTATAAAGCCCACAACAAATAATAATCATTTCTACATACTTAGGCTTTTAAATTCAGAATAAAGATTCACATTTATCTTTTCATAATCACTCACTTTGGTGCTACAGCTGAAGAGCTGACTTCTCACTGGTTTATCCTTTAGTTGAGAAAGTTTTCTCACTGAGAAGTGACTTGAAAAGAAATGGGACAAGGATTTACACAAGGCAAAGAGGGCACGCAAGGAACTCAGTGCCACTAGTAGAGATGAACTATGCAATGACTGGGCCAGCAGGATGGCTCAGGAGGGGAGCCACTTGCCACCAGACCTTGATGGCCCGAGTCTTGGGACCCACGTGGTGAAAGGGGAACTGCCTTTTGAAGGTTGTCCTCTGACCTCCATGTGCACATTTTGGCAAGTGTGCACACACATTAAAAAAATAAATGAGAGTAAAAAAGACTTGAAACTATAAAATGATCACTCAAAAGTGCCTTAATGCCTGTTTTTACTAGAGGTTAGATAAAGACAGTGCCCATAACAGAATATGACAGGTACATTTAAGAAGTTGTCAGTAAACATTTACTGTCCAGATCCACTTTATTGTATACCGCATGCTCTGTCTACCTATTAGGAGTGTAAGATAAACTCTTGTCTTTATCCTAAAGAAAACTATTCTATATTTCAGTGTTCAGAGGAAAAAGCAGAATAAATGTACTTTTGTAGGATAGATCATATTGATTAGAACTAAAATGGGAGCTCTCTATTTTATCAAATATTCATATATTATCATGTTAACATAAAATCTTAATTATAAGTAACATAATATGTGTTAAGTAATATATATATGTAATATATTATAAAGTCTTTTTTTGTTTTGGTTTGATTTTTGTTTGTTTTTTCAAGACAGTGTTTCTCTGTACAGCCTTGGCTGTCCTGGAACTAGCTCTGTAGACCAGGCTGGCCTTGAACTCACAGATGTCTGCCTAAAGGCGTGTGCACCACCATCTGGTTAAAAGTCTTCATTTTTAAAAACTTAAAATTATGACAATTTTACTGCAAAGATCTCAATTATTTTTCATTTGGTATAACTTGAATTCTATGGGACTTAAAATTAGAAAACAAATACAAGACATACCTAACAAGGTCAAAACCCTGACCCTGCTTCAGTGTGGTATGAGAGTGTCAGTATGGTATGTGGTGATGCATGTTTCCGTAGAGAAACAGCCCAGGAGGCCGCTGAGTACCTGGTTCTTCCCCGCGTGCTCTCTGATTCTCAACAATTTCTAGAAGCTGCTGGGCTGCCTGGTTCACACTCATGTATCGAGGAGGTTCATAGATCTTCCTTCCCCTGTAAGTGTAAAGCTGGACATCACTGTTGTTACCCGGAAATCACTGTGGCATTTGATGCTACACTCCCCACCCAGGTACACCGAGAGCCATAGACCCCACTCTCAAGTTTTCCTGTGACACCCACTTCTGTCTAAACCAAGGATGGGTCCAGTGACTGAGTTTCTTAAGATTTTTCTATTGTCCTATTTTGGCCATCTTCAATGACACTGAAATGATGGCAAGATTAATATTCTGACAAAGATACATGTCTAGATCAAAGATATGCTTACTAAAAGTGATGCCTCGGGCAGATGTAATTCGCACTGTGTCAATGCGGTCTACACCCTGGGTGAACCAGTTGTTTTTATTTTTTTCACGTTGCTGGGGCCTAGTGAAGGCTAGCCATTTTTTTTTTTTATTAATATGTTCCTGTATCTTTTTTACTTCTTCCTCTGAGAAAACTGTCAAGATCTGAAAATCTTTGACAGCAACATGTTTATTTCTGTATGCCGGAAAGCCTGGCGAGTTTACTGAGTATCGTAACAAAAAGGTAAGCTCCTGAAACTCGCAGTCTGCTGATCATTTGCTGATCTACAGTTCTGCAAGTCAATGCTGTCCAGAAGCACAGCGCAGTGCAATCTCAAAAACCCCAGAGCACAGTAACAAGTTAAAGAGGCAAAATTAGTTCTAATAGCAGGTAAATATATTTAACCCAATATTCCCCAATAATATTATATATTTGAATACCTAATTCACAAATAAGTATTAAACATTGCTTTTATACCAAGTCTTTGAAATCTGATAAGCACTTTCAGCACATTAAGTTTTAATCAGAAATACTTAACATGTATATAAAATATATGGTCATAAAAATAGATTTATAAGGATAAGTTGGAGGGGGGACATTACTAAAACATATTATAAATATGTATGAACGTCTCAACGAATAAAATATATTTAAAAAACAGATTTACATATTAAAGTTGTCTCAGACAACCTAAAGGTCTTGTAATTATTAGTCTAAGGTTAAAAGAAGGCTGAGTTCTTCAGCTTCATCAGCCACATTTCCAGTGCTCATCACCACGTGTGGTGGGACTGCTGTACTGCACACTGCCTCACTGAGAGAGGATCCCGACCTCACACACATGGAGAAGTGACCCACTCCTGCCCGGGTCCTCACACATGGGAGAAGTGACTCACCCCTGCCCGGGTCCTCACACATGGGAGAAGTGACCCACCCCTGCCCGGGTCCTCACACACATGGAGAAGTGACCCACCCCTGCCCGGGTCCTCACACACAGAAGTGACCCACCCCTGCCAGGGGCCTCACACATGGGAGAAGTGAACCCCCCCACAACACAGATACATGGGGGAAGTGACCCCAAAGCAGCAGCAGCCAGAGGTAGGCGTCAGATGTAAGCCCAAGGTTCTGAACTCCCAACACAACACATTTATTCATTCATTCATTCATTCATTCCACCCACATTTACAGGGCGGCTTTAAATGCCTATCACTGCTCTCGGAGTTGGCTCCATGAACTCTACCTCTACCTTCACCCGACCACCCGGCTCTATCTTTTCACTGTGTAACTGGGCCGAAGGCTCATTTTCATTCATCATTAGCCTCGGCTCACTGAAGCACTTATGGACTTCCGTCACGGAATGGAAAGGACGCACCTCATGAGATTTTCCAGGGACTGCTCCTTCACTTTGATATCTGTAGGGAGGAAAGGACAGTTCTTTTACCCCAATCCTTCAGCTTCCATTAGGGATCACACACATTTTTGGAAATCTTTCCAGAGCCCCTAAATGCTGATCCGAGTTTGTGGTGTCTCTGCTCACCCTTGTGTGTGACTATTTTCCTACGAAGGTTAGAGAGCATCGAGAGCCTGTGGCTGCGGAAACACCCTCCCATCTCCCCATGGTAGAAAGCAAAGTGGGATCTAGTTTCCTGTTGGAGAAGAGGATGAGGGAAAGCATTAGATGATGTTGCCATGTGCACTACTTAACTAATCAGAAGCTTTTAAATTCTTCTGCCTGGAAATTTGCACAGACTCATCCAAAATGTCTGCTTGTACTCCTATTTGTACACTCATTTATTTTTCAGGCATCAGACTATAAAAGCCTTGAAGGATAAAACCTAAGTTTAAAAAAAGATTTTTGTTTTCTTGCTTGTCTTTTTGTTTTCTCTATGTGTAGCCCTGGCTGTCCGGGAACTCGCTCTGTAGACCAGGCTGGCCTTGAACTCACAGAGATCCACCTACCTCTACCTCCTGAGTGCTGGGATCAAAGCTTCTTACCATATTTTGAAGAGAAGTGTTTGCTTTCTTACAGTGGTAAGACATACTATAATAACGAATGACTACTGTAGTAACGGGGCTTCAGAGCTCTCTGCCAGACACTGGGCACCACAGGGAGTGGATTCAGTCTCTGTGCTGGAGAAGTCTGACTGCACCATGGCAAAGCCGTGGTCCTGTGCAGTTCACTCCACTGCTGCTGAGCTGAACTGCTGGGGAAACGGTGAAAAGCCAACTGGCTCTGTGTGCTTCCAGGAACCTCACACAAGGGCAACAGCTGCTTCCTGTTGTACAGCCTCATGAATGGTTCAGCCAGAGTTTGTTTTTGTAGAAATAATATGGTACAACTCAAGAGTCGCTGACAGACGTCTCCAACTTACTAGAGGGATAGGAAAAGCTTCTCTTATTGATGAATACTAAGCAGTTTACCTAGAAACCATAACAATGGTAAACTTTATATCTACTTTTCAATGTCTATGGCACTAAGTATTTCTGAAATTTGAAATATCATTTCATAGTTCTACTTGTCTGGCACATACAAAAATGAACGTTATTGAAACTATGGCCTCCAATGCAGTTAGTAATGGAAGTCAAATTTACTTTAAGTCTTGAATACTTAAGGTAACTCCTGCATTAATTCATTCACCTTGAACTTGTAAAATGCAACATGTCTACTGTAAAACATGTAAAGCACAGATGTCTACTGAATATGTGGACATGGGTCTCCTACAACCTACTCCAGCCCACCCGAAACTACGTTTAAGCCATAAGTTCCAATTATTTCATACAGTCTTTCCTTTCTACTCTAATGCTTTGTACTTAGAACTATCTATGTAACTAATGTTCTTTTACTACTGACTATATCACATATATTAATCTTACCTCTAAATAAATTATAAGTTGTTTGCAGTTTCCTACCATGCTTTTTGCTCCCTAATCCCTAGCCCATAGAAGACATTCAACACTACATACTAATTTAAATGATGAAATCTATGTTTTGAGAATTTGGAAGCCTAACACCCAACACTCCATACATAAATAAATAATAAAATAAGACAATAACTGTCTTAGTCACTGTTCTATTGCTTTGAAGAAACACCATGACCAACTCTTATTTTTTTAAAAAAAGCACTTAATTGGGGCTTGCTTACAGTTTCGGAGGCTTAGTCTGTTATCATCATGGTGGGGAGTATGGCAGCATGCAAGCAGACACAGTGCTGGAGAAGTAGCTGAGAGTTCTATATCCTGATCCACAGGCAGCAGGAAGAAGAGACACTGGGTCTAGCATGGTCTTTTGAAACCTCAAAGCCCACCCTCTGTGACATACTTCCTCCAGTAAGGACACATCCACACCAGCAAGGCCACACGTAGTCCTTCTAATCCTTTCCAAAGCTCCACTCCCCGGTGAATAAGCATTCAAATACACCAGTCTATGGAGGCCATTCTTATTCAACCACCACCACCTCCACAAAAACAGCCAAACCGATCAACTTTTGACTGGGGACTGGTGAAAAGGCTAAGCAAATAAACACTTACTCCTTACACCACGTATTCCTTACACGGATGACTGTAATTTGATCCATAGGACCTCATGGTGCAAAGAGAGAACTAATTCCCACAAGTTTTCCAAGTGTTCCTCTGACTTCCAAACATGTGCTGTGCCATGCACATGCACACACACACACATATACATACAAAATAATTTTTAAAAAACCACCAAAACTAGTTTGAGAAGCACTACTCTCAACAACCCCATGAGGTAGATGGCTTATTCTTATTTAATAGTATGAAGACAAAGGCTAAGAGTTACTCTCAATATTTTCTAGCTCATAAGCATAGACATTGGGATTTTGTCTTCTGGTTCCAACTCTCAGTGTCCTTTTAAGGTTAATTAAAATGTCAGCAATGTTGTGGTCCTCAAGGGGAAAGTGACAATTTGATTCTAGTGTTCCTTTCTATAACACGTAAGACTAGAAGAGGCTCTTAGACACAGGACTTGTTAAATCGGGTCTCTGCTGGAAGGCAAAGCCAAGTCCATCTGAAACTCAGTACTATTTAGTATCTTGTTGCACAAAGCAGTCCTAGCCCTTTGTATGTTAAGCAGGAAGTAAAATTTGGACAGGATAGTACAATGAGGGGAGCTGGAAACAATGGGCCATTTGCATTTTATTCTGTTAACCGTTAAATGAATGGTACTGGGAAACTATTCAAATTTCAATATCATCTGCAAAATAGATTTTAACAAAATGATCTTTGGAGTATCTTTCAGAAGTATTATTTTGTGATTTTGACAGTGAATATCCTAGAAGATGCAGAATGGTTGGTGACGACAATAAATGCTCACTACATGTCTGCTGAACTGCAATAACGATGGACAAATCTGTAAATACAGACTCTTGGAAAGGATCTATAGGTTCTAAGAGGAAACAGTAAGTCTGAGCATGAACACAGGATTTATGTGGTATTTCAAGCTGAGAGTACAGGAAAGAGCTGTGTGTATACAGTGGCTAGCCTGTGTCCTTGTTTTGTTTTGTTTCTTTTCTCTGCTGAGTTATTCACAGAACAGTTGGAATTCTATCACAAAATGAACACAAGAGAAGTCTGACAATTCACTGCACGAGATTAAGGAAGCTTCCTGATGCTTACCAAGCAAACACAAAGTGTGCATGCCATTTTGTCTGTTCTTCTTCACTCTGTCAAAGAAGCTTTCTGGTCTCCAAGTGTCCGTCCAAAACACAATAGAAACTGTTTCTCCAAACTTGTACAACTAGAAAAGAAAACATTACTTAATGATACAACCATCACTATTATTTCAAAGGTCAAGAGCTATGAAGTAGAGCTGATGACCCAGATGGAAAGAAAGCTCAGTAGTTAAGAGCTAGGACTACAGTTGCAGGTACCCAAGTCTATGCAGCACATAATCACCCCGACCTCTAGCTCCAGGAAGATTTGACCCCTCTGGCCTCCATGGGCACCTGACTCACATGAACATACCACCCCCATATACGTAATTAAAAACTTAAAAAATCAATCTTCAGGAAAAAAAAAAAGCACAGAAATAAAAATAGCTTTGAGCACTCACAACAAGTGTCAAAAGTTTAATATTCTGCTTCCCTGATAAGACTACCAAGCCTTATTAGAAAGATCAGTTGACTTACCTAAGGTCACACAGCGAAAAATAAATAAATACACAAACTGAGGTCTGAGGGGATGTTCTTATCTGTCATCTTAGTTCAACAAAATCCACAAACTGCATACTCACTCTTGCTATTTACTGCTCACAAGCCATACCCTCCCAATTTAACAAGATTATCTCTGTCCTTCATGTAGAAGTCCGACAGTAAGGACCTTCCCCAAATCACCATCTCACCCAGGGGTCCCTGTCACTACAAATAAGAAGCTGCATGAGTCCACTGCAGCCCAACTCCAGAGCTTATGCAAAGAACAGTCAAGTGTTGCAGGCTGGCTCTAACCTGCTGGCTGTGCAGGAAAAGTGCCAACACCATCTATCCTTCCCCCAGCTGTGGGGATCAAGTGACACATGAAAACTGTTCACATGCTGAAGTTACATGCTAACATTATAATAGCTTTTGCAGAGGCACTGTATAAAAGAGATCCGTTTCTAAAAACAGTACAGTAAAGCACAATGCTAAAGTTATAGAATGATTTAATTCTCCAATTTAAACAGTTCGATACAACTTGTAAGAAACCAGGAATGTATAGACACTGAAAAGCCACATCTACCAACTTGTCACAGGTTAGAAAGTCATTTTAGTTTCCTAAGCCTGTGCTCTTGTGTGAAAAAGGAAGAGACAAGTCTCAGCTGGGCACCGGAGATGCTGTTTCCTGCAGTGAAGCTTCCTTCTCACTTCAGTTTCAGAAGCTGTGGCAAGAGGTGCCAGGAAGCAGACAGGAAGGAAGCAAGAAAAGGTGGGGTCCTCAGGGCATCCATCCCTACTCCTCTTGAGCAGCTAATAGTTCTCAGGCTTTGTACACCAAGGTCTTAAAACCTTTAACAGTCATCACAGCATCTCTGAGTCCTAAAAGGATGGTTCATGTCCCTAATATGCTACAGACTCCAATTTACCTCAAGGAGCTTTATTCTCAAAGCCCATCTGAAAGTTATCCGAACAAAACATCTTCAGAGAGAAGTCATGCTACTCTGTAGCAGCCGTGTTCACCAAGACAGTGAACAAAGGCTGTGCTGCTCCAAGTATTCCGTCATGTATCTTCCTGCCCTGGGGAGGAAGATTTCTCTGTGACAAATACATTTTGAGTTCTAAGATAGGATTCTTAGACTACATTCCCCAGGATCAACTTCATGGGAGAACCCTAACTCTGCAGAGGAATTGTTACAGTTGCTGTCCTATAACAAGCAAATTTACCCAACGAATAATGAATACATCTGTGCCTACTATGTGCCAGGCACTATTCTGGGCACAGGTGTAAAGTGACAAGCAAACGGACCTCTGGCCCTCATGCAAAAGCTGACAAAGGCTCTGGACCCAGGACAGTGGTTCTGGTTAGCAGCCTGGTCATTGACAAGGCAGATAACCTCCGACCTGGACAGGTACACCCTGCATGGGAAGTGTAGTGAGCACAGTTTTAAGAACTGAATAACCAAGGGCATACTGAGTGCCTAGTTGTGCCTCCTACACTATCAGGGCTCAGTATATGATGCAATGATGTGCATAAGGATTATATGAAATGATCTGAACTGCTGGGTCCTGACAGGATCCAACTGCTCTCTTTATTGGCTAAGTTCAAGAAGTAGCACCTATGCAAAACTGCTTTCAGTAAGCTACATTTACAACGGACTAGTTAAAGTATACATTTTAAATGGGGCCTGTCACCTCCCATCAAACTTGAAACATGTCGTTTCATGAAAACCTTCATGGAAAAGTGTATTTCCATTTATGTATAAATATTTAGGAGGCTGATATTTTAAGAAATAGGGAAACAAAATCATGGAAGCAAGGAAGTTCTTCATTCAAACACAGTGATCAAGCCTTGAAAAGAGAATTGAGATGCTAGTCACATCTAACCTAACAGAAGTGCTCTCTGTGGAAGACTGTGCACTGCCCAACTGGGAGACTGAAGGAACCCTCACATGGGCACTGCCTCCTGGGACCCTGATTTATAACTGCAGCCACTCCCACAGCAAGGGTGCAAACTTCTTCAGTGAATGCTGGGACATTCTGCAGTTTCACCACTGAGATGTCAGCGACTCAAGGAACGGACAGACCGGCACTGCATTTAACAACCAAAGGACTTACCATTACCAGTAAACTGTAAAAAGAAACTGGAGGAAATCTCAGGGACAAAAACTGAGGTGCAGAGGCCTCCACACTGGGCTGTCTTACAACTCTGGCCTGTGTGCTACGACCTTACTTCCTGACAATATTGTTCATCCAAATCTGACAATGTTACTTTTTCAAACCTAAGTATGAAAACTACAAAATCGGCTGTTTTCTCATAAATACTAGGGGAAACACAGATCTGTTCTTTTATCTGGGATAATTTAGAGAGAAAGCATCCCATCTAACTTGGTACTGGATTGTGCTTTGTTAAAGAAAAAAGAAGGAAAACAAAACCTTCAACTGAAAACCATCCATCCAGTCACCATGTGAGGTACTAACTACTGAGGCAGAGGGCAAGACGCATAGGAAAGAGACATAGCAGGCATTAAACAGTCCTGTTCAATATGACATATGGACCACACCTAGTCGGAGAGTTCAGCCCTTTCCACACTCAGAGAAAAGCACCTGCAAGTGTCTTCTGAGAGACAGACGGCGAGCTGGAACTCACGGACAGAAAGGATGAAGGTGCAGGAGTGGGCCTGGGAAGAACAAGAGGGATGAGCTACATAACAGGATGGCATGAGACAGTTACTAGGAAGAGCAAGTGTATGTCTAATCTGTACCTCACATTCCCGACATCTTACCAAACACCTATCCTATCAACTCCTGCTGCAGAACTCGGAGAATATGAGTTTCTATCCATTATTCCCTACTGCTTTGAGCCCTTGACAGCACCTGAGTGACTCATGGTCTCCTAACTCACCTCACTGCCACCACCATTTCCTTCCTGTCCACACAGCATTTTTACATTTATCCTTTTACTTAGTGTTTATATATACACATATAGACATGCATGCAAAAGACAAGCTGTGGAAGCCGGTTCTCTCTCTCTACTATGTAGATTCCGGGCATTGAACTTGGGTCATCAGGCTTGGTGGTGAGCACTTTTTACCCTTGGAGCCATCTTGTGCCCAGTACAGTACTCTGTAAAACTTGACTCTATAACTAGGATTTAACACTTGTTATCTTGTATTAAAAATGTTTTCTGTTTTTTTTAATCTGCTAAATCAAGAAGTCTGCTATGTGTGTGTGTGTGTGTGTGTGTGTGTGTGTGTGTGTGTGTGTGTGTGTATAAACTAGAAATTTTCACTTGCTAAGAAACCTACTAGGGCCCACATGGAGATTAAATGTGGGAACACTGGGAGAAAACCAAGAGCAGGAGTGCCGTCATCCTCCCCACAGCCCCTCCTAGTCACTCCTAGTCACTCCTAGTCAAGAGTGACTAGTTCTCATATCTGTATAGAGTGCTGATCCTGGAGAGGCTCTGTGGTGTTGCTTTTACCCTGAACGATATTGGTATTACACTGATCTTTGATGAAACTAAGATTATGAACATGGCTACACATGAGGCATGTATGTTGAGTACATGTTACAAAAGAACTACAAAAATTTTTGTTCTCAGCTGGACGGTGGTGGCACACACCTTTAGTCCCATACTCTGGAGGCAGAGGTAGGCAGATCTCTGTGAGTTCGAGGCCAGCCTGGTCTACAGAGTGAGTTCCAGGACAGTCCAAGCTGGTACACAATAAAATCGTGTCTCAAAAAACAAAACAAATCTACATTCTCATATATAATTCATCCATTTATGAACTAACTATAAATGAATTATATTTTAGAGTATATTACTTCAAAGACAGTGTCTGATTCTGAAGGCAGAAGATAAACAATTTGCCTCAGGAAATACCTGTTGGGAATAGATTATTTTTATGATGCTGTGATAAAAACAAGAAGATGAATAAACTAAAGAACTAAGAATAAAAATGTGACCACAAACATTCTGAATAAGAGAGGTATTTACTGAGTTGTCTGAGTAGAAAAGGTGGTACAGTGAGACCACATTTAAAAGAAGCTACTGAATGAGAAGGACGATGAATCAGTGCTCTACGACAACGGGGAGAGGAGATGTGGTGGTACACATGTAATGCCAGCACTTGGGAGACTCAAGACTTGGGAAACTCAAGATGGTGAGTTCAAAGCCAGCCTGGGCTATGTAACCAGGCCATGTCTCAGAAAATCAAAACAAGGGTAGCGAGATGGCCAGAGGTAAAGACACCTGCCTCCATGCTCAATAACTTGACCTTGTCCCCTGAGACGCACGTGGTGGAAGGAAAGCAGTTCTGGTACAAGCTGTCTCATGACCCATATGCATTTACTGTGGCACACGTACCCCCAACACACAAATTAAAAAAAAAAAAACTAAGACATTGAAAGAAACTCAAAATAAACAAATAAAAACTAAAGACAAAATCAAAGTACATACGAATTAAAGACAGAGTTGATGGGAAGGAAAGGGAAATGTTTAATAAACATGCTAATGAGTTGGCAGATCTTAGGTTCTGTGGTGACAGCCATGCAGAGTTCTGCTGTCCTCGTTACCCATGTCCCTTTGCTGTACTGTATTTTCATCAATTACTACATTAGGTCCTAGACCACAATGAAACCACTTAATGCTTTGAAGCCTAACAACAAGAATACTACACCATCAACAGTGCTGACTATTATTGGAGGGTTGTGAAATGAAAAAAGGAAACCAGTTGTTACTTTCTGAAAGTAATATACATTTTTTTCTAGAGTAGATATGTACTATATAAACAAAAGAATACATGGCAATACTCAGGGTCATTTGAGCAACAGCCAGAGAAAGTGGAAGTATTTCATCAGGATGAGAAAATTATACAACCATCCACAAGCTCCTTGAAGACAAGTCATGACGGCATCCAAAGGCACTTCCCAAGCAAGCATGCAGTAGATACAGTAGATACACAGTATTTACGGAATGAATACAGCATGTTTGTCTTAAATACGTCCAATTTGCAAGCCTCTGATGTACTTTCTGTTTCAACTGGGAATTTTCACTAAGGATGAGACTTATGGTACTTCTGTTCCACATGACCCACCTAGATCAGAATGTTCATCGGTGGGTTATGGATATGTGTTTGTATACACAGGTAGATGTGTTGGGAAATTCTGCATCTATTTGCCATCAATAACACTGATCACCAAGAATCTGCTGTCTATCAGTAAACTACCAAGTCAAGGACACTACTAGGTGCTTAATTCTGAACCGTCCTTGCAAGCTCTTTAGAGAACTACAGAACCACACCAGCTTCAGAGGGGTGACAACGGAGTTAAAACACTGTGCCCCTCTGGGTTAGCAACGGTAGCTGCTGTGCTTCAGGGCTGAGATGACAGAAGCCGTATTTTGCCCAGGTCTTTCTTCCACACCACTCAAAGCAGCACTTCTCCTTTCAACAACTCGATGCCTGTTTCTGAAGTCGTGACAAAGCATTTGAGAGGACAGGACACCTTCCAAAAGTGAAGCCTACTTCCCTTTAAAATTAAGCAAGAGAACATGAGGAGGAGCCTGCTAACTTTCTCCATCTGGCAGGTGAATTTCTGGTAACTAACATCTGCTCTTTCAGTTCCGACAAGCTAAACGGAGATAATGAAGTATATTCATTTTCTCAGATTTTTACTTGCTTGTGATGATGGTTCTGAAGGCATGACCTCATACCTATAGCTGCAGCAGCTTATTAAATGAAAGTTAAATGCTTATTAAAATGCAAATTCTCTTGGAGCTTGAAAGATGGCTCCATAGTTCAGAGTGTGTACTGCTCTTCCAGAGGACTTAAGTTCAGTTCCCAGCATCCAGGTTGGACAGTTCACAAGTGCCCTGTAACTATAGTTCCAGGGGATCCAGTACTCTCTTCCTGCTTATGTGGCACCCACATGAACACACACACACCATACACACTAAAAATGAGAGGGGTATACGGGAGGGGTTGGAGAGAGGAAAGGGGGAGATGATGTAATTATATTTTAACTTAAAATAAATATGGTAAATAAATTTACATTTATTTACATTATTATGTAAATGTAAATTCTTAGACCCCATACCAGATCTACTATTCTCAGAAAATCTGCTGGTAAGGTTTAGAAGTCACAAGCCCTCTAGATAGGTCTGATGAACATTGTCTCTGATGGTCATTTGTTCAGGTTACAGTATCTTCCACAAATGTAGTCCAAATAGTAAAGAGAGAAAGTTCAAAAAGGAAAGGAATTCAACTGAAGACCTTGCATTACACATGGTATGTATGCATTTATTTAAAAGTATGCCATGTATACATAGTTGACCCTCCATATCTATGCTTCTAAGTCAATGAATTTTACTAACCATGGAGCAAAAATACTTGGGGGTTTGGGAGACTGTTTCTGTAATTAATATGTACTACTTTTTCTTGTCCATCCCTAAACAATACAACACAGCTATTTCCTAGCACCTGCCCTGCACTCGATATTCTAAGCACTATGAGGGTCTATGTGCAGGTTGTATACATGTACTACACCATTTTATAGAGGAAACCTGAGCATCAGCAGATCTAGCATCTTCAGGGGTCTTAGAATTAGTGCTCATGAAAAAGACAACTGTCATTTCTTAAATGTGTTTTAAGTCAGAGAACTGTAAAAAAAAAAAATCATTCCCTCTTCTCCATGGAATGTGAATATTTTGGGTGGCACAGAGGTCTAACTTCACAGAAGCCATTGTGGATGAGAAGGAAGAGCAAGGCACATTCTGTTGTGACAGACACTGTCACTTCACACACAGATTAGATAATGAAATGAAGGTGGGAAATGGGAACAGTTGCCCGGAAGAATCCATATACAATCACAAAAGCTAAATAGTTTTTAAAACAATATAAACATAAATACAATCTCAGGAGCATATATGGAAACTACCAATTCTCACAGCAAATTCCTTCTCAAATAGACCTCTTCTGTTATAGATAGAACACAATTAATTAGCTCTTGAAACAATTCAGAAGATCAGAATGACAGGCAGCGAATTGAGTTCTTGGTCTATACAACAGATACATTTGCAAGGTATTTGCTTTTAATGCTTAAGAAAATAAAACAAGAACAATAGTTCTGAGAAAACATGACAGAGAAAGGGCTACTTTCTTCACAAGACCTAAAATTAAAACCAACATAAAAAAATATGTTCCATTAGTTTAATGTTTACACATCTTTTTTACCATGTGTTACTTTATTTTCTTCTTTTGTCTTTTTTTTTTTAGTAACCATTAAATCTTTCAAGGTATCACTGCCCAAATGAAAGTTTTTGGTTTTTGTTTTGTTTTTTATTCCATCTCTGTTACAGGAACATTTTTAGGAGTCATTTTCTCTACCTGACAGGTTCTTTGAAGCATTAACAGTTTAGAGCCCTGTGAAGAGCTTTTACCCTGCTCCAATACAAAAATGCTTTCAACTATGAAGACAAATCGGCAAGAGTTCTTTTACAGTATACATCATAGACAAAAGTGATACAAACTCCTAAGCCAATACAAACATAATAACTCAGAGCAAGGGGCAAGCACTACAAAGTGATATGTACAATTGTGTCTATTCTTCATAAACAATTAAAATTCATACTGGATGGCCAGCATTAGTCAACGAAACAAAGCTATTCTTCCTAAACAACAAAGAGCTGGTTTTAACACATCTTATTTTTTAGATGTTTATTTATTTATTTGACAGAAGGCATGCTACAGCATGCATGTGGAACTCAGAAGACAACTTGCAGAAGTCAGCTTTCCTTCCACCATGTGGGTCCCAGAGTTCAAACTCAGGCTGTGAAGCTTGGAGGTAAGCCCTTTAACTTACTGAACAAGCTCATGGTACCAAATGTATCTTTTAAAAATTATCTATCCATAAGTGATGGATTTCAGCAAGAGAGATCAGGGAAGGTCTTATTTCATGCATTCTAAGGTGCATGTATTTTTCCTATTAAAATATAGAGACTCAGGGTATCACAAGCAGTATCTTAAAAAGCACTGCTGTGCCAGGAAGCGGTAGTGGTGCACGCTTCTAATCCCAGTACTGGGGAGGCAGAGGCAGGAGGAGCACTGTGAGTTTGAGGCCAGCCTGGTCTACAGAGTAAGTTCCAGGACAACCAAGCCTACACAGAGAAACCCTGTCCTGGAAAAAAAAAAAACAGCACCAGTGCCATGCAGGGATCACAGCTGCCATGAAGTATGCAAGTGTCAATATCAGAACATACATCACACTCGGACAGTGGGTACCAACAGCTTAAGAGAAAATCTTAGAAACAGCTCTCTGAGCGACAACTGTTGGAGTTAAAAATAACTAACTTTACACACCAGCACTTGGAACATGGCCTCAACGCCTTCAACACTGGCTTACAGCTCTGTATTCATTTAAGAAACACAGCATCACATGCTCTCAGTGAAAGAGAAAGGGATACTGTGTGGGAAACTCAGGCTCAACAGCACTGATTATATAAGGACTGTTTAGGAATAGTTAATGTAATTTGCTTCTTCCTTCCTTTTTTATGTATATATGAGATCGATATAAAGTTAAAATCATCTGTAACTAAATTTACATGGCCTGTTGAAAGAAGGGTTATAAGAAAGGAAAAATAATAATTAATTTATAGGAAAACATTACAAAAAACTTAGCATATGTTTCAAGACTACATTCTTAAAAATTAAGTTTTATCACACCTATATAAAATAACAATAAAATCAACTTGTAGCTTACAGGAAAATAGAACATTTTCCTACATCCCATCTAACACTTCCTTTGTACATTACCTGTAAACCACAGCAGCCTACAGCATTCATTATGGAGGCATTGTGAATGACTTGATAAGGGATTCCCAACTTTGTTGCTCTCAGGATAAGATCACTGTGTGTTGTGGCCCTGTCGTGAGAAAACAGGTTCAGTTAAGTGAATGACACTAATCTTCTATCCTAGCTCATGAATTCAAGTCAAAGAGTCAACTGTTCTTCCTCAAATTCTACGAGACACCTGCAGAGGTCTTTTATTCGGGCTTTTTAGGGATGCAGTATACATCTCCCGCATCCCTCACAAGATGTCATTCCAACTACAACACTAACACTGATTGAAGAAAGGAACTTGCTGTGTCCTGATGTCTGCTAAAGACATTTGGAAACTACAAACTCAGCAATTTGATTCTTGTCTCAGGGCTTCTTTAGACGAGTTTTAAGAAAATCTAGCTAGCCATTATTAATGAATACAACTGGCATTTCAATATGCACATCTACATATGAACAATGATCAAAATGACTTATCACCTCAGACATCATTTCCTTGTGTTCCCATATTCAAGAGTCTTCTCTACTACCTATTTATTTCAAAATACTCAACTGTCACCAATCATGGTTTTTACTAAATCATTAGACTGACTCCTGTCTCAGCCTCTCCTGTACCCAGGAACCATCTTCACTAGCCCCTTCCCCAGCACTCTCTCCAGGCTCTGGAAACAATTATCCTAATATCCCTTTTAGACATCACTGTTTAGTTTCCACATGTTAAGTGGGCCACTTGAAATGATGAAGTTTCTCCTTTATAGTTCTGGGGTACAACTAAACCAAATTCCTTACTTCTGCCCTATTTGGATTTGTCTTTGTATCTTAAAATTAAAATTGAAACACAGGACATAGCATGCTATCCTTCAATCTATTAAATTCTGCCTGACAGAATTCCACTTGGAGTTTACATCTGTGTGCAGTCTTTCTATTTATAGCTATTTTCTGTCTGGTTACTTACTGTATATACTTAGTGGGGGGGGGGTATGTATGTGTGTGTGTGTGTCCTATGCATGTTCTAACTCTTAACTTAAAAGTATGATTATAACTAGGTAGGCTGGGGGAGAAGAGAATATATGTAAATATAAACTGAATACTATGACATGTAATCTCACATCAATTTAGAAAGGCATTACTAAAGGTTCTTTTCATCTTGATAAAAATGCTAAGCCCTACTGGGGAAAGCAACATTAGCATGTTTGAGAAACTACTTACAAATAAGCAGAATCTGTCAACTGGTCAATGCATACCAAGCAGGAAGATCAAGGGCTTACACCCCATGAGGCAGCCAGCTACAGATTAAAACATGCCCACCAGGGAAGCCTGTTTTTAATCACACACAGAAAGTAGAACCAGTATGAAAAATTATTAGCAATTTGACTTACAGTGTTTAAAAAAATAACGAGAATGCTAGATTTCAAGAATGTTTTTAATACTACCTTGAACAGAATCTTCCTACTTAATATTTAAGTTCAAGGAAAAGTAAATTAGTTATTTGATGAAGGTGTTATTTTTTTTTTAATTTAAAAAGCTTTATGAGTGAGTTACTTAAATAGACAAAGAGAAAAACTGGTTTAAGATTGTATCACCATCACAAACTCATTTGAAATAATCAGACCAAATAACGCACATTACTATTTTCAAATGTAGGAACTGAGTTACCTAACCAGAAACAGTGAAGAAAATTTGCCTTAACAGCACACTTGTTATTTGGAATTCTTTTAAAGGCAATTTCAAAGAAAAGATGTAAAAAGGCTTACTTGATGGATTTACCCAAGTACACAAAGACAACTGTAACAGTGCTGCCGTGACATGGGGGTGGGGATGGGGGTTGGCTAGCAGTTAGGAAATTTACTGTTTCAAGGTACATGGTGAAAATTACAAACTCAAGAGCTATTAGAAGCATTGTAAGTTGAAAACTCATTTGGAAGTTGCTTTATTTGCTAGAAAGTGTCTGCACCTACAGATCTTTCCTTTGACCTTAAAACCTTGAAACAATCTACCACAAAGAGATAGTGAAAAATGTAGAGAAGTAGAAGAGAAAAGGGAACTGTATGTCAGGACCTATTTGTACAACAAGCTTTGCGTATGTTGGAGAAACAAGTTTTATTTGTATTGGAAAACAGAATAGACTATTGATGCTGATAGCATGTATGGACAGTTATTCAGTGCCAAGTGCTGACTAAAACATTACATGGAATGGGAATCATCAAATGGTCTACATTAAGACACAAAGAAGACAGGTAAATACAGATACACCTGCATGTGTGTTCCACTAAGGAAAAGGTACATGGCATGAAAATCAAAATTACACATTTAGTATACATGTTTATAGTAACAGTGCATGTTAAAATACAGAATGAATAATGAAACAGAAGCCTCACTAAAGAGTCTTTAATGATAACTCCTTCTGTAGAGGGCCAGAGATTGCCTGATACTTTTGTCTCCCATATGGTTAGGCCAAGTACTGATGCTGTATCATTTAGAATCAGTAAAATCTCCCTGTTGCTAATTTCTACTTCCATTTCAATAACTTGGATACAAGGGGAGTGGGGAGTTTATAGCTTTTAATTATCTCCTTGAAGGATGTAAGACTATGGGGGACAGTGATGAATAGCTATGATGGGGGTACAATACTGTGAATGTTCCTAAATTCAGTGATCTGTGTATATTAAGGTGAATTTTATGTTACATATATTTTATCACAGTTCAAAAATTACTGGAAAAAAAGAATTTAAGACTGCACATCTTAACTTCTTTTCATAGTTTTAAATTTTATTATTAAATTTTGTGAGCATAATATTTTGTGGGTGTGAGAGTGTGTGTGTATGTGTGTATGTGTGTGTGTGTGTGTGTGTGTGTGTGACATGTGCGCGCGCATGTCATGGCATAAATGCAGAGGTAAGAAGACAGACAGATCTGTGGGGTCAGTTCTCTTCTCCCACTCTATGTGGGTCCTGGGACTCAGACTCTGGATACCAGGCTTACACAACAAACATCTTATCTAAACCATCTTGCTAGTCATCTTTTCACATTTTATTCAAATAAGTAGGAAGATGCTTAAAATTAAACAGGAGACTTTCTTGTCATACATATTGCAATAAGAATTTTAATATCTTGTTGCACTTCCTGTTGTCCCTGGATTCCTCAGGTCACTCAACTTCTTCCTTTTTATGGACTGACTAGTGAGACATTTGAGTGCAGTTACATGCCTGCAGTCTCCGTTAGTGACTGAGAAAGCTGAGGCAGGAGGATCACTTGAGCCCAGGAATTCAAGGCTAGCCTGGGCAGCATAATGAGATCTCATCTTAAAAACAAAAATAAAAACTCGGAAACAAACAAACTTACTTAATTAATTAGATTTAATGACATATTTCCCACCATCCCATTTCCATCTACATCCCAGCAGGAATCCAGCAGTAGTCAAGACAGTTACAGTACTTGAACTTGAATCGAACACAAGGTTGGAGATGATCAGGCACTAAGACAGTGCAAATTAATTATCATTAGAGTTTCAACGGGAAAAAAAATAGTAAAATAGTTCCAAAGAATTTACAATTAGCAAGTGGGTATCACCTGGGAAGTAGGGGCCAGAGGACCAGGAGTTCAAGACTAGTTTAGGACACTGAGATTTCAATGCTAGCCTAAATTACAGGAGATTGTCTCAATCCAAACCAAAATAACACAAACAACAAAACCCAGAGGGCTGAGCAAGTACAGAGGGTAATACTGCAACACCACGTGAGAAATGCGCCACTGTCCGACTTAGTGCTAGGATAGCGGTCACAGCAGGAGCCGGGGAAAAGCAGAAACTAAAGAACAGACACAAAGTCACTCAGGTTTAGCAGGGAAGCCAACTACAGGAAGCCACTTCCTCTGCACATTCCTTTTCTTTACCTGGCACTCACCCCTTCCTCTCCGCTGCCCGTCCTATAGTCTCTTCTTCAGAATCCTACCCAGATCCAATTCAACACTCATGAACACCCAGCACCTACACACACATTCTTCTACTCGAATACTTAAGTCTTTCCAGCTTCTGTACAAGAAATGTTCACCTTTCCTAGGGCTTTCTTTGTAACTAGGCTGTCTTCTCTTTTGTCTCTCCTCTGGAGTGATCCTATTCATTCCTCTGGCTTTAAATAGTACCACATACCAATGACTTCAGGGCCAGAACAACCCAGTCCTTAAGTCAGCTCCTTCCTTCTTTTCCATGTCTACCACATCCATTCGGCATCTTCCTCCTAAGAATGTTCTCCACCAGTCTTTTCTTTCTTCCATCAGAAACATCTGTCTCCTTAAAGTCCACTCACACCAAGCAAGTCAAGTGGCTTTTAATAATGGAAAGAATTGTGATTTTCTTGCTTAAAAACCCTCCAAAGGTTTGTCACTGTATCTCAAATAGGATTCCCTGTCTCTCCAAAGTCTTAAAGATGGATGGCTCCTGCCTACCTCCATAACACCTTCTCATACCCTCTTCCTCATCATGCTCCAGTCACTATGGCCTTTAGTGCCTTAACCAGTCTTTCTGTCTGCTCTGCTTGGAATGACCTGCCTCCTAACCCCATTTCAGTCACTTGCTTAAGTATAACCTCCCCAAAAAAGGCTCTTCCATATACCTCTGCATAAGTCTCCCTCTATTTCTTTCCCCACTTTACAGACTTCCCAAAATTTCATTTTTTTTCTTTTTCTGTGATTACTGTTGGTCTCTCCCATCAACCATAAATCCATATCTTGCCAACTCAGTAAGTGGGAGTGCCTATCCCAAGAGATGTAGGAAAGGTATTTAGGTGAACAGATAACTGCCAGTTCAAAATATGCTTGCCGTGAGGGCTGGAGAGATGGCTCAGAGGTTAAGAGCACCGACTGCTCTTCCAGAGGTCCTGAGTTCAATTCCCAGCACCCACATGGTAGCTCACAACCATCTGTAATGAGATCTGATGCCCTCTTCTGTATACATAATAAATAAATAAATAAATCTAAAAAAAAAAAAAAAAAACAAAAAAAAAACATTAGCCCGGGCAGTGGTGGCGCACGCCTTTAATCCCAGCACTCGGGAGGCAGAGCCAGGCGGATCGCTGTGAGTCTGAGGCCAGCCTGGGCTACCAAGTGAGCTCCAGGAAAGGCGCAAAACTACGCAGAGAAACCCTGTCTCGAAAAAACCAAAAAAAAAAAAAAAACATTAAAAAAAAATATGCTTGTCTTTCTTTGCTGACTTGAGGTAAGCTAGCACAAAATTCTTCAATTAATATTTTATTAGCAGCAACTGTATGCCAACTATTATGAATGAAATTAGAGAGCTAGAGACATAAAGAACACTGTACTTATCCACAGGAATACCAAAGACACACAGTTATTTTAAAAGTTGTGAGGAACTATATGAAGGCTAGCACAGTGAGGGTCTAAATATAAAGTGTCCCCCAAAAAGGCTCATGTACTGTGTCTTGTTCCCCAGCTGGGGCTATCTGGGAGGTTCTGAACACTTCGAGAAGTAGGACCTACCTAAAGGCAGATGGCTAGGGGCAGGTCCTTGGGGGCATCTTGTCTCTGGCCACTTCTTGCATCTGCCTCTTTCTCCCTCAGCTTCCTGTCTGGCATGGGATGACCAAGCTCCTCTATCACATGCTACCTCTGCCATGATGGCAGTGCATGGGGCCAAGCAACCCCAGTGTGAACCCCCTGAAACCAGTAACCATAGTGACTCTTTCGTCAGGGGTTGTCAGTTGTTCTCTCAGGGACTTGAATCACATCTACATAAGTTACTCATACAACCGTTGACAATCATCTCCCCTTGTCAAGTGGAGCTACCACTTCAGGCTGGCGTGACAAAGGACATGGAGAGGCGTGAGCTGACAGATGCAGAGGCCTCTGACAGACACAGGGGAGGAGGAAGCTTGAACTAAGGGGTCAGAGTGGAAAACTATGATGGAATGAGTTGGCTGGCATGAGTGTGGTCTCAATACAAGACCGGCAGGGCACAGACTTGAAGAGCAGGTTGGCAAGTCTTAAATATCTGGCTAACCGTGGGGCCTCTACAGTTCTCAGCTGAGGTCTCTAAACTGTTAGGGTTTTACACACACCAACTTGACCACAACATGGGCAATGAGTTAAAAGTCTGTGTAAGTCTGTATGAAGACCAGGCAAAGGGGACAGAATGTATTGACCTGGTTAAAATAATGGTATTAAAAGTGAAATTTTAAAAAAGAAAGGATATGAAAAAATTGGCCAATAAATAAATAAGTAGCCAATTGTAGTGTTCCTCAAAATATGGTGAAAACTTTTTTTTGGTTACAATCTTATGGAATAAGTTTCTTAAAGTATGATAAAAATTAACTATTTGAAAATAAAATATAAAATAAGACAACATAAAGTATAAACCCCATTTTTTAAACTACATTTAGTAGATAACCAATTTTCCTTTTTAAGTAGCTATACTAGTTTCTAATGCTTGACCTCAATTTCTCTACTTATCATCTGAACTAGCAAGTCTGCAGACATGTACAAGTCTAGAAGCCTCACTTTGAGCAGCAATTTTATTGTATAGAACAGACACTGTCAGTGACTAAGACTGCCCATCAGGTGACTGTAACAACTGTGGTGCCACCATGTTAGGGGGTCTGGGTCGAGGGTTCCCTACAGAAGACACATGTTTTAGATAGTCAGTGTGTTAGTGAGAAAACTCTATATAAAAGAAGACATTTGGTGGTAAGATTTTTTTTTTTTATTTTCCTTATTTCATTTAACTATCCTATTGCTAAAAAGAGAAAAAAGGTACCATGAAATTTGAAGAAGCCTTAATTTTATACAAAACAATGTCAGGCAAGGGTTAAAACAATTTAAATATTTTATACTATGTGATTACCCAATATAATTTGCAATCAAATATAATAATGATAGAGACTCTCTGGCCCTGCATACTAACATAAATTATTTTCTTTATGACAGTCACATCCACATGTAACTCCATTGTTTTGAGAAATATCCTTGATGGTGGACCCAGAGTGATTTAATTGTCCTTATGTTCCTCAAATCTGTGACATAAATCTTGGGTCACCAGCTGTAGACAAAGACCTCTTGTGTTTGGCTTGACACTAGAGATTGATGAGGCTTGACTAGACAAGTAGAAACCCATCTTCTTGGTAATGAGGAGGAGCAGTGCTCCCAATGGGGATGAGACAGTGAAATCGGAGGCTTGACAAATGGTAAACTCAAGGCAAGTAAGTGACAGCATTATTGCCAAATATTAGATTATTCAAAAAGAAGAGGGGGGAGAGGTCTAGAACAAAAGAAGCCAAAGATGTGTGCAATTATCACAGCAAATGGCAGACATGACTTTTGATAGCGTAGTGCCTTATTTAATCATGACACACTAGTTAAAGGTATTTGATGCCTTGTATAACCTTGCACAAACACAAAAGCATCAAAGAAATAAATGTTAGTGTTGACACTTGTGAAGGTAGTAATACTTAGTGATGACATCTTTATCAAGTACATTTTCTTCATTCATCTTCAAACAACCAAAAAATTAAATACAAAACCAGATAGAACTCAGGTAAACTGATCAGGACCTAACAAGGAAAGTTTTAAACAGAATAATCATTGCTGATAAATACATAACTCACAATGTCTATTTTGACTTACCCAAATGGATCACCAACCACAAGGAATGCAACATCGCTGACATCAGCATCCTTCAAAATATTATCTGCTTCTTGTTCCACTTCTTCCCTGTCAGCAAGAATCAATTTTCTTCCATAAAACTCTTCCTGGAGATTTTAGTAGGATATCAAAATATCAAAATGAGAGAGAGCAGGTGAGTTCAACACACACAGACACTGAAGAACAACCTTTGTCTAGAACTAGGTGCAAATCTTGGCAACCATCCAAACACAGATCATTCAGTATACCTCTTCAGTGAGCCAGAACTCCATATCATGATGCAATTAAACTCTGTCTTTGGGGCTATCATCATATCCCTAGAGAAAGCAGACCTCTTAACATCTGAGGCCTCTAAATGTGTGTCTAATAGACCAGGCAGAACACCAAAGGGTGAACAGAGACTATGTATTCATGAGCTCTATTCCTGAAACATGAAAATATGGAATACATTAACGATAATGATACATGGTAGTGCAGATGTTTCACCCGATTTCTATAGGAGCATTTGTGGTATGCTGACTAAAATAAAAGACCACGTCAATAGGAAATGACAGAAAATTATGATTTAGCTGTTCACAAAAAAAAAAAAAAAAAAAAAAAAAAAAAATGAACAGTCCTACATAATTACAGGAAAAGAAATGAATTTAAATACACAGGACATTTCCATCCAAGCTACGTTGTCAATTAATTTCCTGAAGGTCAGTTCTAGAGAAGAAACCCAGAAGAGTGAGCCAGTGAACTAGTGGTCACATGATACTGGCTAATGATAGTATACAAGATCATGAATCTTATAGCTGAGTTTCTGTGCAATTCAAAAATGGAAGAGGATGAAGAAAATGTATTCCTTCATATTGAGAAGTCTGAGTTATTAAAAGTTACAGGGACTGCTAGAGTAGAAGTAGTAGTACCCAGTATTTCAAAGAAGTACTTGAACAAACAATTAAGCATCCAAAAGCAAATGCTACAATTCCAAATGTGGTAAGTATTCTCTAATACTTAGCTCTCAATAATTTGTGCTTACACAGATTTTAAAAATGTATTCTTTATTTTCACTTTTACTTTGTACCTTTTTCTTATTCATTAATCTTTACATGTTTAACTTTGATTTTAGGAACCAGAAAACTTACAGTCACAGGCCAATTACACCCACAGATCTAAGAGAACACATATGGTAACTAGACACCATGGCAAAAACTGGTCTTCACTGAACTAACGTTTCCCAAAAACAACCAAGAAGCCACATGCCACCAGTGTCGTGCTAACGGTTATCCTATCTCCTACGTGTGGAGGTCAGAGGGCAACTGGAAGGAGCTGGCTCTCTCTTTTTATCATGTAGGTTCCAGGGTCAGATTTATATTATAGGTTTCCAGAGTGCTGATTTAGATAAAACCTCTTCAGCTATTTCTAGACATATTATAGTTTCTTCCTTCTACTACTTTTATAAATTACTACTGAAGCCTTTCATTAAGTTTTCTTAAGTATAATGCAGACAGAACCATGAACCACTTATAACAAAGACTACATTGCTTATACATCTTTATATAATACACAGATACATTCAACCAATAAGTATGTAAGAGTTAATGTATCAAGAGAAATTGCCTAGAGAAAGCTTAAGTTGCAAATGCCCAAACTAATACTCTTACCCAGATTGGCTGTCTCTGAATTTCCTTTGGAGACTATATTACTACTACTACCATCTGGCAGTTTGAAAACAACAGTGATTAATGGAAGAACAGGCAAACTTTGGAATTTATTCAGCAACACTTGTATGTGCCTTTTATAAAATCTTGACTGGTTGATTATTAGTAAGTAGGAAGCATATGTTCATTACAGAAAATGAAATTACCTATTTGATCACTGTGATAAAATTATCTATAGTTGTAACCAGACTTTATATAATTATATAGGTAATAGTCAACAATTTCTAAAAATCAGTTTGTTTTAACAAGAAAACATAAAACTGAAGTGGGGAAAAGGAGGACAGAAGAATGTGATCGAAGAGAAAGAGGCTCGACAGTTTTTCTGGAAATACAAGGCATGAACTTACAAATGACTGACTTAAGGTAGATGGTATCGTGGGGCAAGCACTCAGGGAAGAATAGGAACTAAGCCTGGAGAAGGACAGGAAGAGAATACTGAAAGAACTTTGTAAGAGGGTAGGATCTGGGCCAAGCCATTTTGCTCAATGGAACTTCTCTGTTAGTGCCTCCTGAAGTTATTCCTGCGTAGTTATTACCCATTGCTAAAACTGCAGAGACAGTATGAAAGTCTGGAGCAGCAGTTCTCAAGCCAAAGGTGCTCATACTTTGTACCCTGCCTGTGTCACTGCCTGGGTGACACTGGACAGCTTTTGGAATGTCTGTATGCCTATCAAACGTGAACGGTAACCATAGAGCACTGGGTATTGTAGCTCTGTGGTAGAGAGCTTGTGGAACATGTGAGAGACACCGGGTTCAATTCTTGGCACTATAAAGAAAATAAACAAAATGAAGCAAAATAAATGCCCTATAATTATTAACACTTATTACTATGAAATAACAGGTATTCTAGCACCTTAAAAAATACACATTAAGCTGGGCGTAGTGGCGCACGCCTTTAACCCCAGCACTGGGAGGCAGAGGCAGGCGGATCTCTGTGAGTTCCAGGCCAAGCCTGGGCTACAGAGTGAGTTCCAAGAAAGGCGCAAAGCTACACAGAGAAACCCTTGCTCAAAAAAAACCAAAAAAAAAAAAAAAAAAAAA